AGTTTCTTATAATCATTACATGTGCTTTTCAATCCTAAAAGTTCTAGCATGCTCATTGGATGGATATATAATTTCTTCTTGCAAATAAATTCTTAATTTCCAAAGACTTGAGTTTATTTACACTTCATGACTTTGCTATGAATTATAATAATAGCAAGGTAGGATGTTATTTTATGCTAGATACCTTTAGGAATTTTTAACAAAGAAGCAAATACAAAAAATAACTTTTTTTAAGAAATCATTTCCCATCAAATGAATGCAAAAGTCTTATATTCATGGATCTTTTTTCGAAAATCACTTTCTTTAGATTGTTGTCTGAAAAAAAAAATTCATATTTAGTGAACTAAACTCACCTAAAACTAAAGCACAAAAATAAATCCGAAACCTATTAGCTTCAGTCCCTTTGATACTGTTCTTGTTTACACTTTTTTTTTTAAGAAAATCAAAAAATTGTTTCTAATTTTTAAAAAGTTGTATATCGTTTGAAAATATACCTAAAGAAAAAATTGTTATAAGAAATTAGTTTAGGAAATATATTAAAAATATCATTAGTTAAGATGCTTAAAGACCATTAATAATATGTTTTAGTTAAGATGATGTGATAATGACAATAAAGTGGGTGATGGTCACAGTATGATCCTAAAGATTATTGTGCTAATAATGATAGTTATAGTACGTATTACCAAATTGATAATTGTCATTTATTAATGACAAAGGGTAGTGGTTGTAATGATATAATAATAATAATAATAATAATAATGGTTAGAGCAAGATAGTTTTCATTATATGGTCACAATATGTATGTGATGGTTATGGACTTATGGTAACAGCAACGGTGACAGTGATAGAGTTGAGGATAATAGTCATAGTGGTGTGGATAGTGAGCAGTGGTAATGAGGTGACAAGGAGAATAATGATGGTGGTGTATGGTAATGTTGATGGTGACAATATTAATACTATGATAAATATAAAATAAAATTGAAAATTGAAAGCCACTTATTCTTGTTTTCAAGAATTAGATTTGGTTTTTAAATTTTTCAGGAAAAAAAATATTAAACGCAATAGTTCAATCTAATGATTTTTTTTTTAATAAAGAAAAAATTAAAAATTAAAAAAAAAAAACCATAATGATATTGAAGAACTCAAATTTTAGATTTATGGCAATGCCTTAACATTGTGAAATTCTTAAGCATACCCAGTTTATCACATGAATCATAAAATTAAGAAAAAGTTTTCTCAATATATCAAATATAATATCATATGTGGATTTTGTGGAATCTGTTACAAAAATAAAAATTTGTCTATTAATAATTGCAATAAAATTGAATAAGGATTTTTTGGAGAAATATTGTAATTAAGATTTGAAATTTTATTTGAAGGTATTAGCTTAAAATTCTGAGAGCGGGTGGGATGGGTTTTAAAGATGATGGGAGGACTACCTAGTACCAGACAACTTTCTATTGAAAAAGGTAAAAAATCGAATAAAAAAGTTTTGAGCATCCAACTTTTTTTTCTCCTTATAATTGCAATATTCTATGCCTGATCATCTACATCTTATTTCTTAATCATTTTAATTCTTTAGATTAGCTGGACTAATTTATTATTTTTAAGATTAATCGATTCATTTATATTTATATGTTAGGTATGTTTTTTCATATGTTTTTGTAAGAATTTTTAACTTCAATATGTCCTTTTATATTCAAATTTTCTTCCATGTCTTTTTTGTTACTTTTTAAACCTAAATAGCCTAGAACCATTTAAAAAAAAATTTGAAATTCGAAAAGCCTAAAATAATGAAAAAAAAATGCTTGAAAAAGAATTAAGAAAAACATGAAAATGCCGGGAAAAATCTGCAAAACATTAAACAATAAAAAACCTAAAAAGAAAATACAAATTTGAAAAGCCTTTTAAAAATGACCAACTTGTTAAAAATCTTTAAAATAGAAAAAACATGTCAATAAAGCCTTGTAAATAGCAATTTTAATGGAAGAGATAAGTTTTGCAAGACATGAATTTTTCAACATTTCACTAGTTATCAATTTTTTATAATATTTTTATGGGTTATTTTAGTTTATTTTGGGATGTTCCAAGTTTTTACATCTTTAGGTTTTTTTAGATTTTTCTAGTTTTTATTTTATTTTATTTTCTGTTTTTCGTTTGATTTTTGTTGAGTTTTTGAAAAATAATTTTTAATTTTAGTTTGTTTTGAAAACTAAATCTTTTTTTCATGGTAGGAGGGGCCTTTCTGTCTTAAAAAATAACCAAATGATATATTAGAGAAAACATGAATATATATAAAGGTATATGAGTGTGAAAAATGCTTTAAAATGTATGTGAAAATTTGCCGATTATACAAAAGTATATTGATATATTAACCCTTATTTTTATTTAAATAGGTTTGGTTATTTTTTTTATTTAGACCATTAAGATTGATAAATTTTTGTTTTTTAATTAGAATTAAGATTGATAGAGTTAATTTAAAGTTTGGAGTTAGGATTTGGATTTAATTCATTATATCCATGATCATGGCACCAAATTCCCCAGTAAGGCCAGCTGCTATAAAAATTTTAGCCATTTTCAATGCTGGAGTTATATCACTATGTCTAGAAAAGAGTTGTGAAAACTATTAAAGGCTTGATTTTTACCATATGGATCAAAATATCCATGTTCTTAAATTTGTCGACACTTTTCAATCGGGGCATTTGCCATTTATGATCCATGTTCTTAAATTTGTTGACACTTTTCAATCAGCTCATTTGCCATAAAAATGCCCATCCTTTTCTTATAATATTTTTTGGCATTTTTTACTCATTAAAGATCTGTTACTTTTTATTTATTGGCTGACTGCATCAAATTAACAAAAAAATTTGGATAAGTATTGTTTTTTTTTTCTCTCTCTCTAAATACTGTAAGGCATGCATTCTTTTATATAGTAGGTTTTGAAACTTGATTGAGATGGTTTGCAAGTTTGCTCTCTAAATTTTTTTTTTGGATTCAAATAAGACAAGGTTGAGAGGAATATTTCTTGTAAATACACTTGTTTAATTATGAATGGTTTACTTAAAAATTGATTTACTATAATATTAGTATGCAAATTTTGTTCTAAAATATATAACTTTAACATAGCAATATTACCTCAAATGTAGAATATTTAAATAAAAACATTATGCAAATAGATCTTAAATAATCAGACAAGTAATCATTAAACACCGCTTGGCAAAGAGAAGTTTAATAACTAATGAAAATTGGCGAGGATAGATAGAAATTTGCCTACCATAATATTAGGATTATGTATTTTTTTTTCATATATTTTGAGTTTTATCTTTTTCATATTTAAAATATGTAACATGCCTATAAGTTTGGACCAGTATTTCAACAACTTTCGGATTTTGGAGTAGTTATTCTTATAATTTAACTCTCACTCCTAATGACATTGTATTAAAAGATCATTTCAATTTAAAATTTTAAACTAAATGAGATTTAAGGAATGATTTTATGTTACTTCATTACATTTTTTCAAGTGAAAACTTTTGAGTTTGAAATTTAACAAATTTAAAAAATGATTTTATATTACTTTTGAACATATTTATTTAAGTAAAAGTTTTTTGAGTTTGAAACTTGAACATATTTAAAAACTAGTTTTATATTACTCTCTAACACATTTTTTAATTGAAAATTTTTTGAATTTAAAACTTGCACAGATCCACTATTAATTTGTGGTTAATCATGTAGAAAAAAAATTGAGGTGATAAGATTTAAATTCATGACTTTTTGTATTCAAGATTTTGATATCACATATTAAAAAAAACTATTTTAATCTAAAATCTTAAATAATTAGGTGTAATTTCAAAAATAATTTTATATCATTATCTGATATATTAGAAGCAAAATGCGTATGATTGATTTCATAGCTGAATCTGTAGTGAGGAGTACTCATATATTTATGTTTTTTTTTCCATGTTGTTTTTCGATAAAGATGCAATTTGTATTCATTGCATTGTTATTGTATTGGATTTCAGCATGCACGAGACCCTTGAGCGTTACCGAAGGCATGTGAAAGATAACCATACAAACAAGCAGCTCGTTGAACAGAACATGGAGGTTATCCTACTTTCATCTTCTATCAAACCAATGATTCTAAGCATCATTTTCCATGAAAATTTGTATGTTGCTTTATGTTTTATAAGCTGAGATTCATCGATGATCAAAACATCTTAATTAAAGAGACAAGGATAAAAATAATTGTGAGAAATCTATTATTACCAGCACTAGGATACATGATCCTATGCAAAGGACAAGGTTACATCTTGCGGATGTTTGTTATTTAGTATCTATTAACAATAAATTATTTAGTATCTATTAACAATATTTATTTTAAATTAACAATGTTATATCTTGCATTCTTGCTCCTTGTCAAAAAAAGCAACCAATGGATATCACATTGTCTAGTTCACGGATGGACTGTGCATGTTGAAATTGCTTTTGAGACCGTGTTCATAACACGGAAGCTCTAAAATAGGGCACACACTATGCCCAGAATTCAAATTGAATATTATGCTTGAAATCCGAAGGGATATCTATCTTGTTGGTTTTGGTTCTATGCTGCTTGTATCATACTGCAAAATAGATTTAGCCGTTCAGGCATCATTAGCTATTAGTGAGCATTTGCATGTTTCTGAATAAAGATGTATATAGATTGCTTTCTTCTGCTGCTTTTGGCATCTTTGGTTGCCAAGAGATATTTTTGGTGTTTTAACACATTATGCCCAGAATTCAAATTGAATATTATGCTTGAAATCCGAAGGGATATCTATCTTGTTGGTTTTGGTTCTATGCTGCTTGTATCATACTGCAAAATAGATTTAGCCGTTCAGGCATCATTAGCTATTAGTGAGCATTTGCATGTTTCTGAATAAAGATGTATATAGATTGCTTTCTTCTGCTGCTTTTGGCATCTTTGGTTGCCGAGAGATATTTTTGGTGTTTTACTTAATTTTCACATGCACATAAATTTGGAATGGCAGCAACTGAAGGATGAGGCAGCAAGCATGATAAAGAAGATAGAGCTTCTTGAAGTTTCAAAACGGTTCGAAGGACTAGTTTTAGAACCTTTTGTGTCTATAGTTTAGTTTGATGAAATTGATTGACGATTGGAATTAAAAATCACAAGTAAATGTTTGAAAGTTGATTTTGAATTGCCTCAGAAAGCTACTGGGAGAATGTCTGGGATCATGCACTATTGAAGAACTACAACAGATCGAACAACAGTTAGAGAGGAGTGTAAGCACCATCCGAGCTAGAAAGGTTTGGCCATGAACACCATTAGCACTTTGTTTTTGCCTCAAGTCTTATTGAGCTGATAACCTACCGAGCATGCTCCTCCTTTAATTTATTTGTCTATGTTCAGAATCAGGTTTTCAAAGAACAGATTGAGCAACTAAAACGAAAGGTAACTAGTCACTTCTTTTTTATGCTAAGAACTTGTGAATAAAGAAATCAAAGGCTGTAGAGAAGTTGGATTTCTGTGAATCCAAATTAGGTGGCAGCAAAGGAACTTGGCATGTTTTCTTCTCTTCTCCCAGGAATTCCATGTAACCAAACGGCGAAGTATATATAAGATTTTTCGAAGAGAGTTTCGCTGATTTCTAACTTTATGTTACATGTCCACTATGTATGTTTCAGGAGGAGCTACTGGCAGCTGAAAATGCCAGGCTGTCTGACGAGGTGAACTTTTATTCTTGGTATTTGCTATTATTTTTTGGCCATGATCATCACCCATTTTGTTTTCGTTGTCATAACCTTTAAACTCAATTTAACTGAATTTAATCCCAAACCTAGTTGGAGTTGGCTACATGAATTTGTTGTAGATTGATGGTGGATGCGTTTCAAATTATTTCAAAAAATTCTAATCTGGAGAAAATTTGGAAATCTTCATGGAAGTTATGAAAAGCTGCAATGGCACTTACTTTACCCTTTCATCGTGGAATTTCATTTGGAAGACTATGTTCGTGCCAACAACATAGTCTTCTCATAGCGTAAACACATCATACTTTATTTACAATTCAATACAATTGGTTTGAATTGAAAAAATGTGATGAATATGTGGTAAATTTGACGAAAATTTATTCATGGGGGCTTGTTTGCCGAATTAGAACAAACTCAAAGAGGTTAAATCGTGGGGTCGATCTTCTTTCAACACATTTACAAACAGTATGTTACCAATAAAATTATTTCCTTTTCAGTGTGGTGAGCCGCCAAGGTCAGTCACAAGGGAAGATATTTTACTCCTTGAAGAACAGAGAGAGAGCAGTTCAATTTTGCTCCTTGAAGAACAGAGAGAGAGCAGTTCAATTTCAGATGTGGAGACTGAATTGTTCATTGGACTACCAGAAACAAGAACAAAGCGCCTCACTCCAAGAAAATAGTGGCGAATGCCATCGTATTGTGTTGTCACCTTTTCATAAGTCTCACCATATTGCATTTGCGCAAGCAATAATTAAGGCAATTGGTGTTATATATTTATATATGCTGTCTGTTAAAAAAGATACCATGAATGAAAGTAACTGTAAACGAAAAAGGTACTTAAATTGTTGTGCTACAAATACCTCTATATTTTTCTGCCACCAGTTTTCTTAGAATTTATTTTTTAGCCAGCCTAGATGCCCATATATCATGGCCATTAGTGTGTATATATGCACATTTTGTTCAGAGATTTAGTTACATGGCCGGATGATATTGATGCTCATCTCTTAGGCACTTCACAGTTCGTTCTTGAAGATGAATGATATGATCCCAGGTCTCTTAGGACCAATGAAATCATTTTATTAACTAAATTATCTTGCATGCTGCGCTGTCTTCTAATTAACAATCCAAGAAATTGTAAATACAGATGCTGCTCTCCAATGGGGGAATTATTATGCGTGAAAGTAAAACATTTGTGCATGTAAACTCAAAAACCCCTATCTACTGTCAAGTTGATTTGAGGATATTTGTATCCTTAAAGGAAATAAAATTATTCCCTTAGTTAACCCAATGACTCGTTAATTGGCTCACCAACTCGATGTTCGTCTTTGAGAACATTGCATAAACCCTATCGTTAGTCACCCATCAGCAACATCGACAGATTATTGCTGAATCAAAGAATTGGATGTGAACAAAGACAAAGTTCTGTAAAGGAAAGAACAAAGAAAAAACTCAACTAAATAACGATGGAGCCCTTTTTATAAGGGGAAAGCAACTAATCAGCTTCTTCAAGCTTAGCCCATTCTAAGATTTGAGATTATTGGGTTGAGCCCTAATAAAAAAGTGTTGGATCTTTAATCCAAACTCAGCCCCTTTGACACAATCTCTGTACAAACTGGTTGTTGATCCATCACAATCAAGCATTTTATTTTTGAAACATAGGTTAAAAAGTCATGAAGGAAACTTAATTAATTGCAACCATGAAGGAAGAGATCATATAATCATGGGTTAAGGTCATTCTTGCTTGTTTTTGAGACTATTATATAAAATTGAATTTTATATTTATGCACAAAGAAATAGAAAAAATTCTTCAAAATAAAGGATAATTTAGTTTTTCACTTTTATATAATATGAGTAAATCATTTTCCGACGAACTTTTTCTTTAATTTTTCTGATTAAGAATTTATTTGTTTTTTTGGTTAATTGAAGTAGTATTTATATACACATCAAGTAAAGGATATATTATGGCATCCAAATTCAATTTAACTAATCTCAGTCAGAAGGAGAGTTATTAATTTATGTACTCTTTGAAATTATTATGTATTGCATAAAATTTGGAATAGTTATTAAAAGTATCATTAAAGTGTATTTTAGTCATTAGAAAAATATTTGAATAATACAAGCCACATTAATTTCATCGATATTTTTTAATTTATGGTAATGGATGTTTTAATCTTGAAATAAAATCATTTACTTTTGAAATATGAATGCTTCAATTTTATTAGGTTTCTCCAATATTACAAAAATACTAATTTCTTTCTTACAAATTAAATGATAATTTACACAAACACACACATATACTTTATAAAATTAGATACTGGAATTAATTAATATACTAATTTTTAGCTAAACCACTACATTTAATTAATATGAACACACAAAATTTTCCGACAAATTTAGTAAGGGAAAATTTGACTAATACATAAATTGTGTATCAAATAAAACAAGTCATCATGAACTAAATGAAAATAAATCCATATTTCGAAAAAAAAAATTAATTCAATTTTATTTAAAGTTTGAATTTCATTAGACCAGTTTTTTTTTTTTATTGAATTGTAAATAAGTAATTTATACCCTAATGAAATTTAATATGTTCTCTATCATGACCTTCTTTTTCTAAATTAAAGCATCCCTACTTCTACTATTGATGATTATAACAAATTGTATCTAATAAACTTGTTCAATTTTGTTGTATAATCACTCGGTTATTTATTTGGTTCATTTTATTATTTATTTTAAACCATACTTTGCCTCAATTCAATCTTATATCAACTTTTGTTTCTTTTATTTTCTTAAAAAAGAGTTTATATTATGACTTCCATATTCGATTAGTATTTATTTCCATACCAAATGATTTTTTTTATTAATTTATTTAACATTTTGAATTTATCATGTATTATGTCCATGTAATGCTTCACGATGTTATTTAAATTATAATATTTTTTATATTTTTTTATTTTAATACATATATTTTAACTTTCTAGCAAAAAAAATAAAAATAATAGAAAAACTTGATAGCATGAATATATATTTAGTAAAATAATTAAAAACTTTATATGCAATTTCAATGTGCTTCCATCAAAATATTTGGATGGGATTCTCACTACAATTAGGATAAGGATTGTAATCTTATCTCTTGTAATTTTTTTTTCATATTACAATTCACATAAATGCGTTTTTTAATTTAAATTTTTATTTCATGTTCTGGCTGCATACTAATTAAAGTGTTTTCTTTTCCTTTTAATTCCGATTTGGAGTTAATCATTGAAAATATTTTTCTAAAAAATTAAATTAGGATAGAAATCTAATGTAAGTAGGATATTCTTACAAGAATTAAGATAAAGATAAAATATATTTTAGATTATAGTTTTTAGTTTTTAGTTTTTTCTTGCACTCTAATGAAAATAAATGAAGGATCTTTTTTACTCAGATATTATTTTTTCTCTCAACCCAGCATAATTAGTTTCAAAATACAACACCTTAGCATGTTGAATAAAAGAATAACACACGACGTGTTTTTTGATTAATAAATATCCGAGTAAAAAAAATATATAGAGAGAGAAGCAGGGTGTTTTGAAATTTAAAACGTCTGAATGTAATATATATATATTCTGTTTCTGTTTTAGTTATTTTAGGATTCTAAATTGTAGCAACAAAAAAAAAAAAAAATACAATAAAAAATGGAAAATAAAAATTAAAAGAGTATTATAGTCTCTTCAAAAGTTTACCCATGTTAACTGTGTTTTTTTATAATATATAATCCAGACATAATTAGCTATAATTATTTTTAATATAATATGGTTGCAATGATTTAGCTTAAAAGAAATCTAAATATATGATTAATTCGAAAAGTCATTGATTTAGTTTTGATTAATATAAAAACGAAAAGATTTCACTAAATATAAATATTTTACAAAAAGTAATAAATAAGATAAAGATAAGATAGTAAACAATTTAGTCTAATTCATACGACGGAAGGAAGTATTGTCTGCTTTGACTATGTGTTGTTATGGTTTTGTCCCACAAACAAAAGACACTAAAAAAGCAGATTTGAAACTTCTATCGCCCATATATATAATTAACTAACCTAAGATCATTCTAGAAGCCTCTTACTATAGGAATTATATTCACTTCTACGATTCTATTAATGAATTATCGAAACAAATGTAGTGTTTAAGATGCATGATTGTCATTGATAGTGTGATGATGTTCTAATTTACGACTATTAATTAATTGTTTCTAGCAAGAAAAACGACTGTTCGGCTCGTATTGTAAATATCACGTACGTGAATGTTTGATTGTGACCATACAATGATTTTGGAGATTTCACCACACAGCTAGCTAGCAGCAATTAAAGGACATTAATTTGATTGATTTTTGCACTAGATAATATATAGTTTTTTTTTTTTTGGGGACTATTTTATCTACACGCTTAGATAAATTGGCCCCTTGGCAAGCTACTGTAGTTGTTTCTCGTCAAATTGAAGCTAATCTGTGTGTGTATATATATATCTATATAGTGTTGTTTAGTAATAAAAAATAGAGTGATAAGAATGCAAGAATCGAAATGAAAATTAAAGAATCGAAATGGTATTTATATTTTTATACCATGTTTGAAATACTAATAAGAAATCGAAATACAATTTAAATTTTTTAATATTTAATTTTTTATATAAATAAAAATAATGATTAAAAAAATAATTTTATCAAATTAAAATGATTTTAAAAATAATAAAAGTAGTGATGATGATGGTTATGACATTAGTGGTTCTAGTAGTGATGGCAACAGTAGTGATAATTGTGTTGTTTGTAATGGTGATGATTACGATAATAGCGGTAAAGATAATAAATAAATACAATATATTATTATTTTGAAGAAAAAAATCTTTCTAATTCTTTATTTTTATTCTCATATCTTATATGAAAACAAAATTATATGTAGATTTTTATTTTTATTATCACTCTTTATTTTTATTTTTATTTTTTATTTTTTTAATCAAACAACTGCCATATAGGATAAAGCAGAATATAAGCATCTAGGATGAACTTTTGTTGTACGCAAATTGCAGGAGTTATATGTAGACTTTTTGTGCGCGCGCGCGCCCGTGGGGGTGGGGGGTTAGGGGTGGGTAGCACACAAATTTCACATCACAATTCACAGCTTGGAATAATAATGGAATTACTGGCTACAGATCTAGAAGCCCGAAAGAGAAAGGAATACCTTACTTTAGTCCAGACTTAAATTATTACGATGACATGGTAGCTGTAGAAGAAGCATTTCATGTCTCAGTGACATAACAGACTATATAAACATGCAGTTGCAACCCCAGAAAATCCAAAGCAAAAACCATTTATGAGACACTCGAAATATGTAGCGCATATTACTAAATGTCTCGATTTGAAGAACTCTTCAAATTTCAAAGGGCCCATCCCTGGATGAAGTTAGTCTCGCCAGGCATGCTTTTTGGAACGGACACAGAGGATCCTTCAGCTGGAAAATAGTGATGGTACCTGTTTTAACAGAAAAAACCGATAACATTTTAGTGCTGGTCCTTCTACCTTGCTTTCGACAATAAGATCAGTGAATGAATGAATACTAGATCCTAGATTCTTTTTCGTCAAGCTTCATGAATTGCTCCCGCTATTGATTTGATTGTTTAAAGAACAAGCCCAGGGAGAATCTATGTCAGGTTACCTGTCTAAGCAATATATATTCACCTTGGCATCTTCTTTCTATTATAAAGGCTGCATTATCGATATTTTTGAAAGCAATTAGAAGTAATGTTTGCATGAAGTTGCAAACACAGACAACACTAATCGACATGCTGACACCAAAATTATTGTGCATGCTAGAAATTAGGAGTACCCAATCTGTAAGACAGGCCCAGGATCACAGTCCATCTGGCTGGATTGAGCAGGATGCACATGGAAGCTGCTACTTCCATCTGCTGCACCGGAGTTCCACAAGTCTTGAATGGCTTGAAGATTTTGTCCTTCAGCTTCTAGCTGAAATGCAAGGCATAACGAGGGAAAAGCTTAGAAACATTGCTGGTAACGTGACCTGATATGAATTTAATTATCATATTTTTTGCATGAGTGTTGACAATTGTTGAAGCAGAACCTTAAGCTTGAGATGCCTGTTCAAGTCTCCAAGGTGACGTTCCTGCCAAAGCAGATCAGAAAGCGATTAGAAGAATCGATTAAATTTTTATAGAGGTTAGGGGCCGTCTGTAAAAAGTGAAAGCAACGAGGATTATGTAATAGTCGAGGAACTACGGCAGTTTTAAGGCAATTCAGGAATACAAATTGAAAGTTGTATACTTGAATTCTGTCCATCGATTTCCTAAAGTCTGATCACATTCTATTGGCCCACAAAAATAGATCCGAGTTTTATGTGCATCAAAGATTCCAAGGGGAAGCAACCACATTTCTGAGTTCCAGAACTGCTACATTTTAGTCCAATAATATACAGGTAAGATTCTGACTTTTTCTCAGTATAGTGGATTACCTTTTTCCGCAGCTCTTCCATTTGCTCTATCAAAACCTGCTGCTGTAATAAAAAAACAAAAGGATAAAAATAATTATGCTCTTTATTTGAGCTGATTGACATATTCCTTCACTTTAGACAGAAGAAAACAGAAGCTGGTTTCCTGCATTTTATCGTGTAAGCTCAATGCATATATGTCCATATTAAATGCGAAATTATAAGGCTGTCTTTTTAATGCCTAGGATTGGAGACATATCCTTTACCTATATATGCATGTATAGGATATCAAGCAACAAAAATTCTTGAAATTAAACATCTGTTCTGTCCATTGTTACGGAAGTTCAGCTGTTTTGCAGTGACTTTGATGGATGCCAACAAGGAGTGACAAATAAAGAGTGAAAGAAGATGATAGTTAACAGAAATGGTACGTACCTTTCTCTGCCTCGCAAGTGCAAGAGCATCTTCAAGCTGTTTCTCAAGATTTTGCAGCTCTTTCACGTTCAGGGGCCCAAGATCCTCCCCGAGCAAATGCCTAGTAAAACATTAGAGTACTTTTTAGTATTGGTATTATCTATTTCTTTCTAGGCCTATCATCAACTTCGTTGGCAATTCAAATTCAATTAAAATGAGACATGGTCATAGAGATTCAAAAGTTTAATTTACAACCTTTGAGTGCGTTGAAGAGATTCATACTTTGCCTTCAATTTTGTTGCCTCTTGGTACCAGCTCTACATTGTTAATCAAGGGCAAGATATATAGAACATGTCAGAATGAGTTTGTATCATATGATTTTATTCCATATATATTTGCAGAAAAACAATCAGTTTATAACCCATAATCGGTTTTAGGGGCCATTTTTTTATTTACGAATTTGAGCCGACCTTCTAGGTACCCACAATTAAAGGAGCTAAATAAGAGTAAACTAGCTAGTGAGGACTAAGTCTAACTGTAATCTCACAGAGATTGGAATTTAAACCATTTCAACAATCAATTTTAGCTGTTGCTAACTTGCTACCCATCTTTTTGCAATTAAGATTCCATCAAAGCTGTCATAGTATGGTGATGAAGATAAGGCATTTGCAAATAAAAGTACAACATTTTTAGACGAATGATGAATACAATATGAAGAAAAGCAGAATTAACTAGGGGCGAGGAGATGTATTTTAGAGTGATCAATTGTCAGAAATTTGTGCAGGATTGCTTGCAATGATGAATTTTTTTCTTTTTGGTTTACAAGTAAACTCCAACCTGACTCTTACAAGGGAATGGAGCTACAACAGTTTCATGCATCAAACGATTTTAGAACTAAGTTATTGTTCCACAATTCGTAGAATAACACAGGATCAATTTTCCAAAATTGAACAGTTTGTAATTATTGTCCATATACAAATAGTGATCAAATAAAAGTAGTAGCAGAAAAAATTAAGCTTCATTTTCTCAAAAACTAGAGAACATGCTAGGCAACATCCGTATGATCACCTGTTAAGTAAAATAAACCATTACTCTGATTCAACTGCATATATAATTAAGAGGCTTGCGCAAGAAGTTCAGCGTGAATACAAACCTGTGTCTCACGTTCGATGTTGTTCTCTTGTGGAGTGTAGCAGCAGCGTCGATAACGCTCAAGGGTTTTGGTTACACTGAAGAAAAGATGATGTTAAGCATAAAAGTGTATTTGATGTGAGGAATAAACGGCAAACTAACCTTGTCATGCCACAAAAACTAGGAGGAAAAGATAGAAAAATGCGCTATACGGATTTAATTAAGGAACATAAGACCACAAAATGAAACATATTAGAACATACAAACAAATTGCCAATAGTAGCTTAAGCATCAAAATCCAACCTCTTGTCCAAAGAGAATTAAACTGTTTGACATTAATAATAGAAGAAGGCATGCAATATGAAAAGGTGTGATCAGTCCACTTGGAACTAGCATTAGAAGAAGTGGAAAGTTTCTGCAAAGAATAATCTTGAATGGATGAAAAACTAGATAGAAATGTAGACCATCCAGCTTACATGAATGGTAGTATTTTGCATGATTACTGCTGGTAATTGAAAATTCAAGTAATATTAATGTAATTTGACAGTAGGGTATTAGCTAGGGATAGGGTTATTTAAATACTATTTAAATAAGGCATTCCTCGTATGAAGAAAGGGACAACGGTAGCATGACAAAGCACCCATTCTACTATAGTTGTACAAAGGATTAATTACATATTTGGTCCCTAATTTTTTTCTTAATGTGGTTTTTTTATTATTTATTTTGTTGTTCTATTTTAGATATTTTCTTAATATAAATTTTTTTTATATAGATTTTCAGTTAATTTTTCAATAACAAATGACAGATAAACTGTTATGTCAAAAATATTTTTTTCACTATTTTTTTTAGTTTCATTTTGTTTTTATTTTTTTATTTTTACACGATTACTATTATCTTATGGGACAGTCCACTTGTTATTTATTACTGAAAAATTTATCGAATTTCTATCAAAGAAAAACCACATTAAGAAAATATTTAGAAAAAAAAGACAAAAAACAAAAAAAAGAAAAAAGAAAAGCTACACTAAAAAGATATCAAAAAAGTATAAAAACGAATTATGCAATTAATTCCTCGTACAAAAATACATATAACCACTAACCCAAGATATCACAATTAATAAGAAAAGTTACATGTATATATATATGCACTCACAAGTGTATAAGAAAACACTTTGGATTACAATAGCAAGAATACTACAATAGACACAATTGTTAGTGTTGGATCGATGCACCTTAATTCTCAGGATACAACCAATATAAACATATATGTCTTTGTGTGTAAACTTACAGACAAATTAAGGAGAAAAGAAATGATCGAAATCATGTAACATATTAGGAAAATGCAAACCTGTACTAACTTAGCTTTGGCAAATGATCAGTGGAACATTAAGGGCACAGGGTTGGCTAAGAAGACATGGAAATTATGCTTAATTATTAATATTTATTGTGGCTATAGTATCGAGATATATATAGAAATACACACTTTTGACTGTCTAAATAGAGAGATTGTTGCTTTTGTTACTTCTTTGAAAAATTGCATTCCATGAACATTAATTTGCAATTTGCAGGCATCATTGTAGTGGACAATTAAACGATCAAACAATCTTTTCTCTATTCACACAGTAAAAACTATATTTCATGAACGAAAGAAGAATCTTTCCCAGACTATTTCCTAACCCACATGCAACAAATCATTCAACTGGAATAAATAAAGTAATCTGCTTCCTCATAACCTATCCCTTTTATAGTATACAAGTTCATTTTGTTGATCTTTTGCCAGTAACAAAAGGGTCAATAGTGATTTGAAAATCCCTTGTTCCTAAAAAAAATTTCTTATATTTACTTACAGTCCTTTATGAAACTTTCTTGCTAATAATACAGCATTTATACATTTTCTTAATTTTCAATTGTAGTATATTGCTATCTTTTTCCATATATAGAAAGAGTTTTTCACATCGAGAAGCAATATTTGTGTTACTCATATTTACTTTTATGCGGGCTAAAAATTAATTTTTTGCCACTATTTTTTCAACACCAGTTTTAACTTTACCTAGAGTAATTATTGGACTTTGGCCAACAATCAGATGATGAGGGAGAGATAAGTTATAATTAACCTAAGTAGAACAACCAACTATTGTATTCAACTATTTAATTTATTTATAAAAAATATTTAATTTAACTATTTGCTATTATTAATTTGTATATTACTCTCGTAATACCTATTCTCTCTCAATAATAATTAAAAAAAAAAAAAAAAAAAAAAAAAAAAAAAAACCTATTTTCTTATCTCTCAACATACCAAAAAATTACTGTTATATATAGATCTACCCCTTTCCCTATGGATCAAAAATCTCAATATTTCTGAGCATTTATAAATCTAGATAACAGGTTAACACCAAAATAGATATTTCTAGAATCAATTCAACTGTTGTTCAGAAAAAAAACAAAGAATCAACTCAACTTCTTTATTACCTTCTCAGAGGAAAAAAGAAGAAGAAGAAGAAACTGAGTTATCCGGTCAACACACACAGAGGGATCAAGGAAGGAGGAAGATCTTCTGACCAAAAAATCAAAACTATCTGGGAGTTCTATAAAATTGGTTTATATGCAAGATCGATGCATTAGAAAAGGAAAGAAAGAAAAGGCATATAGTATAGAATACAGTTCACTAGACAGATGTTAAAATCCCACTCACAATTCTTGCTAAAAAGATCCCATCGAAAACAAAAGGGAAAACAATATGTTGGGTTTTGGAGCAGCACAAATTCATGCTAGATAACTTCACAGGATATGCAAACCCCTGAAATAACTTTCTACCCTAAATAATGTTTGTATTAAAAAGAAAAGGAAAAAGAGAAAGAAATGCTATCATTTTTCTACCATGAGTAACAAGAAGTTTACCCAATTTCATATTTTGCAGGAACAAGTAATATATCAATGCAGTGTGTCAATGAATTCATGCGAGAAGAGAAAGTTGAAACTTAAAAAATGCAAGGAACTGGATTTTCTTGACCTTAAGAGACTTGATGCTCAACCGCGGAAGCTGCTTAGCAAGAAAGAGACTGAAGATGAACAAACATATATACGGAAAAAAAAACCTAAACATCAAAACTTTGGCTTGCTTCATAAACCACCTAGAGGGAGAGAACCCGAAAGACCTTAAGATCCAAAGGTAACAAATCCAATATAAACTTTGAAGATGGAACATGGATGGCAAAAAATTGATTTGCCACCTAACCTGCTTTGCTCTAATCGATTTATTTTAGAGCAGAGAGAGAGAGAAAAGAAAGAGAGAGAAGAAGCATTGATAAAACCAGAAGATCAAAGGATGAAAAGAGATGAAGACAAAACCAAAACGGAATATAAAGGAACCGCAAAAGAAAACCCTAGATCTTGCACAGAGGTTCAAGAACAAAACCTAATCAATACTGATTGGACTTGCACACAAAACAAAAATTCTGATCTTTGAATCATTTTGTTATTTGGTTAGTTTCAAGTTAAAAAAAAATAGTTGTACTTTACACTTTTCCATTGAACAATCTTAGAACCCAGACACAACACAGACACCCAGAGAAAGACAACTGAGGGTTTTGTAAAGGACTATGAAACGTGTCAATCTTTCACTGGAAAAGGAACTCCAAAACCCATCAAGATTTTCAATGTATTCTTAAATATTTGAACCCCAAAAACCCCCTAGAAATCATCAGTTAACCTGAGAATAAAGAGATGTCAGAAACAGGTGTTGGAGAAAGACATCACTCAGGTAACCAAAAGAAAGAACGAGAGAATCAAAGAAAGCAAGTACGGATCATTGCAACTGGACTCTCACAAAAGGTTGTGAGAATATGACAAGAAAAAGAAGATGATAGCATCATCAACAAAAACCGAGAAAACTATCGCAAATAAGAAAAAAAAAGTATAGTTACGTGTATATATGTGCATATTTATTAAGAAAACACAACTTATATTAAAAAAAAAAAAAAAAGCAATTTAGGATTGTTAGTGACAAAAAAGAGACCTATATGTTGTTTTTAACCTTTAAGAGCATTGTTAGAAGAAAAAAAAACCTTCCGAATTAAGCGTGAAAAAAAGAAAAAATATTTATAGAATCAAGAAACAACCTTTACAGAAGCACAGAGAGAGGGAGAGAAAAATATACCTAGCACTACCAAATTCATAGAGCTTGCCACGGCTAGAGAAGATGATTAGGGCAACTTCAGCATCACAAAGCACTGAAAGCTCATAAGCTTTCTTCAGCAAGCCATTCCTTCTTTTGGAGAAGGTAACTTGCCTGTTGATCTTGTTCTCTATCCTCTTCAACTCCACTCTTCCTCTCCCCATTCTTTTTTGGTCAGTTTTCGCTACAGCTATAAAAACACTGGTGATTTTTATGTATACAGAGCTATCTTTTGCAGGAGATGGGGTTTTGTGGGGTTAGACAAAAATGGAGCTAAAACAAAGATAAGAAAGGCAGTACTGATGTTTGTGTGTTTAGTGTCCGAGAGAAGTAGAAGTTAAGGTGGTGTATAAAATAGAGAAAACTGGGTCTTCTATTACAATAAAATGGAAATCAAAAAACTGTATGTCTTTACCCTTTTTTTCCTTATTCTTTTTTCCACTGTAATTTTAGCAAGTTGTCTTTCTGTTCCCCATCTCTCTCTTTCTCTTTCTCTATCTATCTTTTTCTCTGCGAAGATCAGTTTCTTGGTGACAAGGTTACTTTCTTCATGGTAGCGTGAGGACACGCTCGGGACCATACTATATTATGCAGTATGGATGCTGGAATGGAAATAGGATTAATTGAATTCAGAGATTTATTAAATTCTGGAAATTTGATCCATAAAAGAAAAGCAAGAATACTGATAATACAACTTAGGTGTTTAACTTTGTTTTCTAAGAATATTTGCTAAATTATTTAAGTATTTTCCTAATTAACAAGTAAAAAGAGCAGTGCAATTATCTTCAATTCAATCAGTTGATTGCACCACAAAATGCGTTTCAATTTTTAGCGAAATACAATGCCATTTATGCTTTGATGTGGCTTATTAGAATACTTTGATATTAGTAATAATTTTGTTTTGATGAATAGGAGCGTGAATTTTATTAATTGTGAGACAAAGGAAGATACAAGCCATAGATCAGTGGCAGAAACAATTAAACCATCCAAAAGA